GGCTGGCCCAACGTGAGCGAGGAGCTGGAGGAGATCCAGCTGGAGGACCAGGCGGAGCGCGCCGCGGGCACCGTCTCCGTGCTGAAGCTGTTCAGCATGCGCTCCCTGCGGTGGCAGCTCCTCACCATCATCATCCTCATGGCCGGCCAGCAGCTGTCGGGCGTCAACGCGGTACGGGAGGGGACAGAGGCCCAGGGTTGCGAACACTCACGGCAATACTCGATCAGACATTTAATAATGCCTAACGCCCTTTCTTCAAACAGGGGAACCATCCAGACCCGTTTCCTTTCAATAAGTGTAGTACCCATCCATCTAAGCATAAGCTTGTGTCCACCAATGCACTTCAAAGATCAAACCGAAAGGCCCACCAGCTTGGTGACAATCAATATCCGCTGGGCACAGGACGGCCACATCACGGGGGTTCCCACGCTCTCCACGCGGGTGTCTGTGTTGGAGGAGGCCTGAGCTCTGTGGCCTTCGGGGGAGACTTTTACGTTATTTATTGACGTCACTGTTGGCATCATCATGATTTGACCAGTTTCCTTGCTCAAGTAAGCAAGTTAGTGGTGAACAAGTGAAGTGGTAAATTTCATGATTCAGTCAGTTTCCTTTCTAAGGTACACAGGTTATAATAAATAACATGATTCGGCTAGTGTCCTCTCTATCAGACACAAATAATAGTAAACAACAAATGCCCTAGTCACCCAGGGAGGTCAGGCTGCAGGGACACAAATCTCAGGCAGAGGCGGGTGGCCAGGTCCACTGGAGTCCCCCTGTCGGCCAGCCCTCCTCTGGCCAACCCCTCATCCATGGCACAACCCATTCCAGATCTACTACTATGCAGACGTGATCTACTCCAAGGCCGGGGTCAAGGACACCGATGTCCAGTATGTGACGGCAGGCACAGGGGCTGTCAACGTGGTGATGACCATATGCGCAGTGAGTGTCCCTAGCTGACTCCTGGATGCTGCCAACAGAGGGCTGTCGTTGGGAGGTGAGGAGTCTGGCCTCTGAGAGATGGAGGCGGACCCTCAGCCCCTCCTCTCCAGCCTCTGAATGCTATTCAGGGCCCAGCCTATCTCATGAGGCAGGAGCCTCCCACCCCATGAAATGCCTGCTCAGCTTCCCACCCCCCAGGCTGCCAAGCCATCCAGGGCACATGCTACCTGCAGCAAGTTCTTGGTGTGACAGAAGCGTTGAGGCCCTCGAGAGCAGTGGGCCGCCACAGGCTGGCTCCGTGCCTGGGTAACCCCTGGCGGGAGCGCCATGCTCACCTCTGGAAGGCACTCTCTCGAAATGGTCCAGACAGCTGGCCCCAGCCAAGGATGGGGATCCTGATTCAGGAGAGTCCAATCAGAAGGCCCTAAGGGATGGAACTATTGAAGGCTGGGCTGCTTGGGCCCAGTGACAGCGCCCAGGCTTTCCTGTTGGCCATGTACGGGCACATGAGCATGCGTGCACACACAGAGTGTACATTATCTTTAGACACACGTGCACACACAAGTGGCCGGGCACATACACATGGGGGCAAGAGGACAGCCCATACACAGTCCCTTCAGAGGCTTGGAGGGAGGAGGGAAGGCAGCTCTGAGAAGGCACTGGCGCCAAGCCACTGCTCCGGGCAGGGTGCTGCTGACCCTTCTGGCCAGGGCGCAGGTCCCTGGCCTCCCTCCGTACCGCCTCCCCTTCTCACGCAGGTGTTCGTGGTGGAGCTGCTGGGCAGGAGGCTTCTGATCCTCCTCGGCTTCGCCATCTGCTTCACGGCCTGCGTCGTGCTGACCATCGCCCTCGTGCTGCAGGTGAGAAAGGGGGAGAACCCGTGTCGGGGTGGGGGAGGGAGAGGTAGCAGGCATTCCTGGGAAGGGGAATGCCGCCACTCTCACCCTGGGCCCCAACTGGCATCCTAAAGACCAAAGACCCAAATGCATTTGTTTCAGTGAGTGCCATCATCAGTCTGACCATGTGCCCTGCCCAATAGCCCACCGCCCACTTCCAGCTGATGGTGGTTCATTTAGATGGCATGGGGGGTGGGGTGGGCGGGGGCTGTCTCTCCCTGCTGGCCAAAGAAGCCATCCCTCTGACCACTCCAGTTTGGCCACTGGGCCCAAGATGCTGATGCCCCCTACCCAGGCTGTCCCCGTTTTGCCACGTGTGACTCGACTCTGTTTCCTCCTGCAGGAGACAGTAACCTGGATGCCGTACCTCAGCATCGTCTGTGTCATCGCCTATGTCATAGGGCACGCCATCGGGCCCAGTACGTACCCAGAGCTGGTCTCGCCATGCCAGTTCCTCTTTCCTGGGCCCCTGCCAATCCAGCTAGAGCGCCTTCAAGGAAGTAGACCTGGAATCTCTTCTCCGCCCCCTCCTCCTGTTTCATCAAGTCGCGGGCCAGCGAGTGGGTGACGTCATAGACAATGGAAAGAATGGCTGCCCGGTCCTGCGCCAGCCCCCAGTTAGTTTCAGATCAGACTGCAGTGAACCACAGGGTCCTCACTGGCTGATTTGGGGAAATAGACCAAGCCTTTCTTAAGGCTGGGTGGAGCATAGGCAAAACAAAACTGTGCAGGAGCTGGCTTGGGGAGGTGAAAGCTTGCTTCCTATGGAACAAATTTGGTAAGACTATAGGGAGTAGAAAGAGCACTGGTGGTGTAGTGGTTACAAGTTAGGCTGTGATCCACAAGGTCAGTAGTTCAAACCCACCAGCCTCTCTGACAGAGAAAGGCTGGGCTTTCTACTCCTGTAAGCAGTTAGTCTTGGAAACCCACGTGGGCAGTTCTACCCTGTCCTATAGGGTCACTATGAGTCAGGATTAACTTGATGGCAGCAAGTTTTATACAGGAAATGCTAGGGACATCACGCCTGGGTGGTGTTGTGGTTACGGGTGGGCTGCCATCCGCATGGTCAACAGTTCAAAACCACCAGCAGCTCCTACGGAGAAAGACTGGGCCTTCTACTCCCATAGTTACAGTCTCCGAAACCCACAGGGGTTCGCCGTGAGTCAGCACTGACTCGATGGTACTGAGTTTGGAGTTGGCGGGACGTTACAAGGTTGTCAGTACACCCTGGTCCTGTGCAGTCTCGCCCTGCTTCTCAGCTAGCCCTGCCCTGCTCTGGATAAGAACACCGGAGGGCTGAGAACACCTTTCAGGACCCGAAGCTCGCAGGTCTCTATACCGCAGGCCCTCAGGGAAGAACGCTTTCCCTCAATTTCCCCAGGTCCCATTCCTGCCCTGCTCATCACCGAGGTCTTCCTGCAGTCCTCTCGGCCATCTGCCTTCATGGTTGGGGGCAGCGTGCACTGGCTCTCCAACTTCACCGTGGGCTTGGTCTTCCCCTTCATTCAGGTACACAGGGGTCCCCAAAGTCTCAAATCCTCAAGCAGTTCTAGAATCATTTGCCATCAACTCTGATTCCGACTCACGGTCACCCACCGAGTGTCAGAGGGACATGTGGTCCATCTGGTCTTCGGTTGCTGATTTTTCCAGAGTGAATCATCTGGGATCTCTCCCAAAGCACATCTGGGTGACCTTGAACCGCTAGCCTCTTGGTTAGCAGGTGAATGCATGAGCCATTTGACCACTAGGAGTCCCAAGCCATACAGGGTGACCCTCTTCGAGATAGTCAGGGCTCGCCCCCTTAGCCACAGGGCTGGCAACCGCGTGCCTCTCACCTGCTCTCTCCCCACAGGCTGGCCTGGGGCCTTACAGCTTCATCATTTTTGCAGTGGTATGTCTTCTCACCACCATTTACACCTTCTTTATTGTTCCTGAGACGAAGGCCAAGACATTTATGGAGATCAATCAGATTTTCTCCAAGATGAACAAGATGTCAGAGGTGCACCCTGAAAGGGAGGAACTGAAGGATCTCCCACCTTCTACTTTGGAGCAGTAACTTGGGAGGGGGAGCCCAGCACATGGGTCTGTGCAGGACTCCCCTCCTCCACTTTTCTGACATCTGCTTGTCCAGAAATAGGACAAGGGACGTGTGGAATGCAGGCCTCATCTCTGGCCTCCTGGCCCGGGTGGGGGTGCCCAAGGAGTTCTGTGCCGTCCTTAGCCCGGCCATCTCTCTACAGCCCGTTCATCGGCCAGCCTGAGTCACAAAGGACAGCTGCCCTCCACTCTGCTGCGGCAGTCATTTCGTGGCTCCTGGTAACACCAATTATCATTATAAAAATAATCGATAGAGTGAAGAGATGGAAGGAATCGACTCTTGCCAAAGAAACCTGCTCTTCTCCAGTTCCCTGGATCTTCCAGAACCCCAGTCATTTGTTCAACATCCTTTGACAAAGTCTTCTCCAGGGAAAAAAACTTGCCTGGGAAAGTGAAATGTCTACAAAGATATCTAGCAAACTGGAGCTACTGAGTCCCTGTGCAGACACTAAGTCAGAGATCATTTGTCCTAAATTCTATTGATAGAAGAATTTTATTTTGGAATTGCTTCAATAAAACACATCGGATCACCTTGAAATTAGCTTCTTTTCCTATGAGCAGATGAAAAGCTGGGGTTCCCCTCTCCCTTCTCCTTCAAGTCATTGGACTGCATGGGGGTGTCAGCTCCTTGAGCAGGGGTGCTGTGACTTTTGTTTATCCTGAATCCATAGTGCCTAGAACAGTGCCTGGTATGGAGGAGGCACTCAGACGTTCTTTGCTGGGAGAAGGAAGGAAGGAAGGAAGGAAGGAAGGAAGGAAGGAAGGAAGGAAGGAAGGAAGGA